AATATAACATTATTTGATGTTCTAATGTGGAACCTTTTCTGTATTCCTGGAGCAAATACCACTTGAACACTGCGTATAACCTTTCAATATGCTGTTGATTCAGTTCATTAGTATTCTGTGGGGAATTGTTGTATCTACCTTCATAAGATGGTGCCCTGGTGCTGTAGCAGCAGCACACTGTTGGGCTATAGTCTGCGAGGTCAGCAATTTGAAACCCAGCCACTCCATGGGGGAACGATGCAGCTTTCTATTCCTGTAAAGAGTTACAGTCCCAACCCACCCACGCTGCCCCCTGCTCCAGGGGCCATTCTCTTCTGTCCAGAACGATTGTCGTAAGTTGTAATGGACTTGATGGCAGTACGTGTGTGTGTGTGTGTGTGCTCTTAAGACACATTGGGCATGGGGTTTCTTCTCTTCTGATGTCTGGCATCAGGGCTATGCTTTTCCCTCTCTCTCTTTCAAAGAGTTAGTGCGTGTTAATTCTTCAACTGTGGGGTAGACTTCGCCAGTGAAGCCACCTGGTCAATGAGCACTGTTATTGTTGCTGAGAGGTTTTCTAAGTCACTCCATCCATCTTTTCCCTTGCCGCAGGCCTATGGAGACATAATCTCTTTTGAGTCCATTTTGATAGCTGTGTGTGTGGTAGGGTCCTTGGTTAGGCATTGGGCTGCAAACTGCAAGGTTCAGCAGTTTGAAGCCGCCGGCTGCTCCATGGGAGAAAGAGGAGGGTCTTCCCTCCTATAAATAGTGCCAGCCTCAGACACACACAGGGGCAGTTCCATTGTCCTATGGGGTCACTGTCAATTCGAACTGATGCAATGGGAGTGAGTTTGGTTTTTGAGTTTGGTGTCTGAGAATTTATACAAAACATCTAGATTATCCAGTTTGTTACTATGCACATTTTCATATTTTCATAATATTCTATCTTAATTACTTGTATAGGATCATTCATTACTTGTAATATACTCTTTCATTTCTCTTCATTTATTTACAGCTCCACCCGACACTCCCCTTTGTCAGTCTACTTAAAGGTAGACTGTCAATTTTATTGATCATTTGGAGATCCAAATTCTGGTTTTATTGATTATTTCTATTGCTTTCCTGTCTTTTATTTGTGCTCTGATCTTTGTTATTTCCTTTCTTCTGGTAAATTTAGGCTCAGTTTGTGCTTCTCCTTGATACCTGGGGCTGTTAAATAGGCTGCTGGCTTGAGATCGTTCTTTTGTTTCCATGCAGACCTTCGGTGCGATAAGTATGTGTTGCTACATTGTGCTTTTGCTTTCATTTGCCTCTAAGACATTCATCATTTTCCTTTTGATTTAATACTTGACCCTTTGGTAGATTAAATATACATTATTTCAGTTTTATGAGTTTGTGCATTTCCCAATGTTTTTACTGTTGTTTTTCTGCTATTGATTTCTAGCTTAACTCCGTTGTAATTAGAGAAAATATTTTTATGATATCCATCTTTTAAAATGATGAAGATTTACTTTGCGACTTCACGTGGGGTCTATCCTGTAGAAGGATTCCTGCGCCCTGGAGTAAAAATATATTGTGCTCTTGTCAAATGGAGTGTTCTCCATAGGTTTGTTAAGTCTAGTTGGTTGATAGTGTTTTCAGAAAGCCTCTGTTTTCTTGTTGATTTTCTTTCTAGAGAGTCTGTCCAATTTTGTAAGCTGCATATTAATTCTCCAACTATTATTATCGTGCTATCTAGTTATCCCTTTAATACTAACCAGGCTTGCTGTATATAATTAGGATATTTGATACTTAGTTCATATATATATTTATGAGGCATTTCCTCTTGATTGAGTCTTTTAGTGTGATGTAATGTCTATCTTTACCTCTTCTAACAGATGTTATCTTTATATCTGCTTTGATGTTAAAGTTGCTAGGTCAATTCTCCTTTGGTTGTTATTTGCGTGAAATTGTTTTCCTATGTGTCCAGCAGGAGGCATAGTGCACCTTCTCTGGTTATGACTCCATTCTGTTTCTGGAACTTTATGTTTAGCAGGAAAACCAAACCCAACAAGACCCATCAGAGCTGGCTGATGCCCTGACTTTGACTGAAGCTTCTTTTGCTGCTTTGTGAGATTTTCTTAGCTGATCATTCAGTGGACATACAGGAAGACTTACCTCCATTTCAGGTAGAGGAGGGCTTGGCACTCCCCAGAAGGATCACGGAATCTTTAGTCTTGTCTCTTTCAGAGCCTTGGTGGCTTTGTGAAGGTTGAGGGTCATTCTCTATGTCCTGGCTCCTCTATAGGGAACTTGCTGTGGGAGTCTATATCAGTCTTGCATTTGGCATTTACTGAATGGAAAGGGAGTTCTCATCATTCAAATGGACCCCCACGAAGATCTGCCAGGCTATTGAGCCTGCCACCTAGTATGTTAGCTCTGGGTGCCTTCTCCACTCAAGATGCTTGCTATCTAGAACACAACCACCTCATTCAGTAGTCTCCAATACCAACTGAATCAGGGAACAGATAGACTGGAGCGGATGCCCTGAGCAGTCAGTCTTGTTGCTTTCAGAGGCCTGAGCTATAACATGAGCCATGAAACAAACACATGGACTAAAAGAGAGAATGGACACTGATACAGGACCTTCTGTAGAGATTCATAGCAGGTTGGTGGCAAGTGCATTCTGGGGACTGACATTAGAGAGTTCTGCCTTCTGGTTGTAAAATAGATGCTCGGTGCAGACAGAGGTTGTGGTGGTTATGAATTCAGGCCCCTTTTTTGCGCATCTGTTACCTTCTTTCACAGCAGAAAGAGGCCTGCATGGCTGAGGGGAGATAAAGGAACAGCAAGATAAGTGATTTTCATCCTTTATTCTGCTCATTGTTGATTCGGTGACTTGTCTGTCTTCAGTTCCCCATTGCTTTTATCTGCTCTCTGATTCCGAGTCCTTTAAAGCTGAACACTACGTCCTTGTGGTATCTCTTATTGTATTGTGGTGGAGGGTGAGAACAAGGGCCTGTTTATGAAGCTATCTTTCCCAAATCCCTGCAGTTCTCTCTCGTGCCTTAGATTCCCAAATTGCCTTGAGTGCTTAGTTAAAGACATATATTCAAATTCCAACCAACTTTGTCCAATCAACATCTTGAGGGCTAGGTGTTGGAGAGTTCTTGCTGTGTATAGCAGTCCTGGTAATTATTATGACTATAAGTTTGTGAGAAAACTTGATTAAAATAAACAATCTCCTAAAATATTGAGGTAACTTAGGTAAACAACTTTTAAATTGTATTCTGGAGAAGAAAAATACGGGTTATATATTCAGAAGGAAATGAATCAGTTAAATCCTAAGCTATCTAAGAGAACAAGCATTGTATGAAATAAATATGATGATGATATTGGGTCCTTAAAAGTAGATGCTACCCAAAGAGCAGTATGTAAAGCAACTAGTATAAACACATAGACAGCACAGATTCTTGTAAATGCCAGGCATTTGATTCCTTCTTTAAAACATGAAATGGGGCCTGTTTATGAGGACAAAATATAGCTTTCCTATGGAAATCACTGCTGTAACTGAGAGTGGAAATTGATCTTAATAAGATACCTATCACATTAGATGTAGTGTTTTATTCGAGATTAGTAGCTTGGCCTCTAGGGAACCACATAATATAACTGTTCTGTCCTCTTAAGGGCTGGAGAAAATTGTCTAGAAGGAAAACTGAACACATCAGGAAAATACTAATATCTTCTACACAAATTTGCAAATAAGGCAAAGATGTTGCAGAAGTTGCTTTTATGCAGACAAGTGATACATTATTCTATTAATTCTTATCATCTTACCATCTACCCATCATGTTCCCAATAAGAAAGTCTGTATTTTGTAACAGACTCATTTGCAAGAGCTCTCCCAGTACTTTGTCAATCTTTTCTTTGATAAAGCAATCATAAATGGTTGGGGGTGATAAGTCAGGGGCCTAACATGAAATGCTCTTAACATAAGGACTTAGTTATGAACTGAAAAGTGGGCAGTTTGAACCCACCAGACACAACGGTCTGCTTTTGTAACAGTTTCCCATCTTAGAAATGCTATAAGATTGTTTTTTTCTCTCCTACAGGGCCACCATGAGTCAGAATCAACTCAACATCAATGACTTGGGGATTGTTCTCTTTGGATTAGACTGGAATGGCCAAAACCACCCTCCCTTCCCCACCCATACGGTTCACCTAGTGGAAGCACCCAAGATCTCATTACCCAGTCCTACCAGGTCATACAGGAAGTGAGTGAGCCAGTACATCCTGTACCCAAGGCCACTGATGTGCTGCAACCTTTTGGCTCCAATCACTCTGTCTTTCACCACCGCGCTTCCAATGGATGCAGTCAAGATGGAGAAGCCCAACACAATGCAGAGAGCAACACCACACTGACGGATACTCTCCAGGCTGTAGAACAACAAAATGGCTTGTCGGATGATAGACGAAGAACTCTTTGCCTTAGCAATTAGTGATAATAATAACAGTGATAAAACCCACTTAGCAGGAATGCATGAGTGACCTGTCACATTGGCTAAGGGCATGTATCCACTCAAAAAAAAAAAATGTCTCTACAAATGTTTGCACACATGCTATTGTTTTCAGTTTATAGAAGGCTTAATCAAGGATCAGAGAGTTGAAGGAACTTTCCGAGTTTTCATATCTCAACATTTATTCCTGACCAGTGAGCTACACTGATAATTAAAATTAAAATAAATCCATAGGGTCTTATCCATAGATATTTTTGCTCAATAGCAATATTGCCACAAGGAACCTATAGCTACAGCTTAATGTATCATTCATTGATCCACATCAGAATTTGACTATTCAAAATTCCATGTAGATTTTGTATTTTGTAGGCATTTTTCATAATAATGTACACTGCATACTGTCTAGGTCATTGCTTTTTGTTTTATATTTGCCCAGAGAACTCTTGAATTTCTACTCTCAAATTAGCACCTCCTTCAAACTCATCCTTTTGCAATGATCTGTCCATTGTTAAGGAACATGATGAAACACATTGTAGCACACACAGTTCACTCTGTCAAACCTTCTTGCTTGATAACAGACAATTGTTAGTCTCCTCCTAGACCTCGGGCCCATGCAGAGGTCCCTAATGCCAGAATCGGGAAACCAGCCCACAGGGGACGACAGAGCTGGGATGAGAATATCCACTGAGCAGACTTGTAGTTTCCAATTCAATTTTTCAGGTGATATTAAGCGTATAGAGTTCCTGGGTAATGCAAATGGTGGATGAGCTGAACTGCTAAGCAAAGGATGTGAGGTTTGCGGATACTCAAAGATGCCCTCGAAGAAAGCCGTGCCAATCTATTTTGGAAAACTCCGTCACTGAAAACCTGAGTGGAGAAGCAGATCTGACGCACAGGGGCTCATCATGAGCTGGCTTCTGGTTTTATAAGCATATAAATAATACTTTATGTTATTATCTTTTCTAGCTAAAAGCCTGTCTACGTGCCTACCACCAGGTAGAGAAATAGCAACAGAAGACAAGAGAAGCCAAAAACATCATCCTTTTCTCAAGACAGTAGCCTGACACCTGGTTCTGCCCCAGAAAGCGCCACCTTTATCGCTACACAAGGCTTTCTCTGGACAACATGTCCAAGTTCCATGAGGAGTTGGCAAGGTATCGTTATTATATATATAGATCATGTTTTACATGATATGTGAACCGTGCTCAGTCACTCAGTTCAATGTGTTTCCTCTTTTAATAATAATTCCCCTCAAACTTTACAAAGCAATTTCTAAATCCTGTATAGCCTATCCTATATATGCCAGGATCACTCAGGATACAAAAAGGCAGAAAATAGATCAGAATTATCACTAAGAAACACAATGATTTTCTTCCACTACAGGTAATTTTTGATGAGCACCCGCCTTCCCCTCCCCCTCCCCTCCTATCCCGGAATCCCTTCAACTCACATCTTGTCTTCGTTCAGCAGTGCTCCTCCATATGGGTGACTATAGAGGGTTATTCCTGGGGAAGAAAAGATGGAAAAGGGAGTGTCATGTATGCACAGCAGACAGCCTATTGTCAAGCCACACAGAATCACTGTGCCCAGGAGAAATCCCTTGTGTGCTGAATCCTGCCCCGGCGTCATTGGCAAATCACTTTGTGGAGTTTGGCTAACTCATATTGAGGTTTCGGTCCATGCTGTGGTCATGACATGATCAGTATGCGTTGAATGTTGCACTAGCGTGTTGCCATGTTTCACTGTCTAATGCTCTAAGTATCCTATGACCTGACTAACACATTGCCCAAATTTTCTGAATGAGGAGACAAACCCAGAAAGATCAAATAATGTGCCAAAAGATCACTTGATGAAACACAGGTCAATATACAAAAATCTACCTCTAGAGAGAAGTAGGATAGAGATACATAAAGAGACCATTGCTGGTTTGAATTTGTTTGGGGAGTTGTTTTGTTTGGGTTTACTTGCTTCTTTGTGTGTGTAAGTTAAAATGTTAGTTTAATTACAAAAGCCAATATGGAGAATTTGCCATCAACTTAAAAATTTAAAGGAGTTTACCATGAAGGCTGTTTGTGACACTGCACCAAGTCTCCTATCAAAGATACAGCATATTCCAGACACTAGTATGTAAACCAGAACTTGGTAACTTCAGGAAAATGATGTGCATCTCATCATAAAGATACCGAGAGTCATGTAACTGGTCAAGTTTTCCTTTTTGCATGGTTGGTTCATAAGTTTATAGCCAGATGAGTGGCTTACAGAAAGATTATTACAGGATTCATAATATCCTTATGCCATTGCATGTTGGAGAGGGTCTAGTATTTTCTTTTTCATTTCACTTTTAATTTATTCTATCAGTGTACTTTACATTTCCTTGTGATATAGTATTAGAAACTTACTTGATACATGCTACAAGACTGATGGAGGTTTATACTGGGTAAAACTCAGTGAGTCACAAAAGGACAACTATTGTACAACCTCCCATATCGAAAGAAAAGGCAAATGGATGGAGACAACAGTCTGTTAGTGGTTACCAGGTACAGGAGGAAGGGAGAAAGGAGGAAAGGGCAGGTTAGTAGTGAAGGACAAACCAGATTGATGAGAGGAGGTAGTGTTAAACAGCCAATTTTTATCATTGTTCTTAATAAATTGTATAGTTATAAAACACTAAACTAGCAAAAGTGTGTTATGCACATATATACAAACATGAAAAAAATGGGGGGTGGTAACTGCTGAAGTTGCTTGCATACAACTAAACACCTCATAGAATTTAGTTCCTTGCTTTGTAGATTTAAGGTCCTGGTTTAATGGGCCAGCCTGGCTCATTCACCAAATTATGTTCTTAGTCATTCTCTTCTACATCCTAGTTCATTGAAGAGTGGCTGAGGTCTTAAAAGCTTGCAAGTGACCCTCTCAGACAGGAAAATTCGTCCTTACATTCCTGGAGCAACAGAGAATAGGCGTCAGGAATAACAAGGCGAGGGGAGTGTGTGCCCAAGTGCTTCTGTGCACGGCTGTCTCCTTCAAATCAGCCAAGATGATGCCAGATTATTAATACTGCGCATTTTAATCGATGATTCTTTAGAAGAATACTGAAAACTTGGGGGGAAATGCTGGACCCAATTTTAAAGTCTCATAGAATGCAGCTTTGGGGTGTCATGAGGGCTGGTTGAACCCCTGCAATTATTCCTGAGATAATCCTTAGCTTAAACCAAAAATATCCCACAAAACCTTCTTAAAACCCAGAAACATTTCAGTTTAACTAGTAAGTGAAACTTTGTCTACCCTGGGTGATGAATCTTTTCTATGAAACTACTTAAAAATTAGCTTGTTATATTTGGTCAAATATTTCATTAACACCCCACTAATTTGATGACGGGAACTGCTTCTCTTTGGTGAGACAGATGACGCTAGCTGGCAATAACCATTTTGTAGATATTATATAGCCCACTGGCCAGATGTTCCCCAGCCCTGATCCAGAGTGTTGTGCTCTTTCAACAATGACCTATATGGAATCAAAGTGACAACAGCAACTCAGAAGATTAGATAAGAGCCTTAGGAGACTGTGAACGTATGTTACACATTCACCAATACAATTGAATAAGGATACAATCCTGATGTACACCTACACTGATTTTAAACCTTGCAACACCCCCATGTACTATATGAAGGACTGCCTTTGGATCTATGTACAGGTTCGGAATGAGCACAATCAACTATTCTGGAATTCCTTTTGTTTGCAGTTACCAAGGTTGGTTATGATTCGTGCAATTGAATGGCTTTCCATAGTGGGCTAAACACAAGCAAACAGTTCTGGTAGTCTCTCCTTTCATACAAGAGCTAGCTCACCTCGGCAATGATAGCCTTCTTTCCATGGCCCTTTCTGCATCTGGCTGGAATTTCGGGCACTTCTCCATTATGTGCTGCTACATTTGTTTTTGAATTATCTTCAGAGAAAATTTGCTTCATATTAATGGTATTGTTTGTTAATGTCCACATATTTTGTTGGCTCTACTTTCTTGGATCCAAATATGGATCTTACGCAGTTGGCTGGCAAGGTGGCTGTCTTCCAAATTTCCTGGTCTTTCTTTCCATTGGTATTCTGTCAATTCAGGGAATTTTTTTTTTTCCACCAATGCTTTAGTGCAGCTTGGACTTCTTCCAATACTATGTTCGTTGATCACCGGGTACCTCTTGAAATGATTGGATGTCAATTAGTTTTATGAACTATGTTTTCCTTTCATCTCCTTTTAATGGTTCCTGAATCATTCAGTAGTTTGCTTGTGGTTGTTTTTAGGTGCTGATGAAATGGTCCCGACTCATGGTAAGTGTCTGTACAACAGAAGAAAAGGCTGCTGACTCCTGCACCGTCCTTTAGAATCCTTCAATAGTGCTGCTCCAGGCTTAAGATTTTCCTTCAGTTCTTTCAGCTTGAGATGTACTGAGTATATCATTCCTTTTTGATTTCCTAATCCCAGGTCTTTGTACATTTCATGACAATAATTTATCTTTTCAAGTTATTCTTTGAAGTTTTCTTCCCAGCTCTGTTACTTCATCCTTCCTTCTATTCACTAAGCTACTCTATAGTCCACTCCAACTTCAAGAGTCTTTTCTAACATTCATTTTGGCCTTTTCCTTCATTTCCAGTCTTTTAAATTACCTTTTATTTTCTTCGTGTATGATGTTCAGGATATCATTCACAGCTCATTGGGTCTTGAGCCACTAGTGTTGAACACACCTTGAGATTGTCAATACATTCAAGTGAAATAGACTCAAGGTCGTATTTTCGGTCTCATGGATTGTTGTAATTTTCTTCAACTTCCACCTGCACTTACATATGAGCAATAGAAGCATTTTCTAGTCAGTCTGTCCTTGTTTGAGCTGCTTATATTGAGCTTCTTCATCAGCTCTTCCTACAGATGCAGCCTGTTTGATTCATTGTTATTCTGTCTGGTGAGGCCCACCTGTAGAGTTCCCTTTCATGTTGTTGAGAAATGGTGTTTGCAATGAAGAACCACTGGTCTTGTAAAATTCCCTAATGAGATCATCAGCATGATTACTATCATCAAAGCTGTATTTTCCAACTGCTGATCCTTGTCTTTGGTTCTAACTGCCATATTCCAATCTCCAATAATTATCAATTAAAATCATCTTACTTGTATGTTTGATAAATTTCAACCGAGGGAAGTTGGTAGAATTCTTCAACATCTTCATCACTGGCTTCACTGGTTGGCTGTTAAATTTAAATAATAATGGTGCCCACCAAACGGTCTTCCTTGTAAAAATATAAATAATGACCCTTTAGACTTTGAAATGTTCTTTTCGACAATGAAAATGACCCCATTCTTCTTGTATTTATCATTTGTAGCACAATAAACCATATGATTGTCTAACTCAAAATAGGAAATATCCATCCATTTCAGTGCACAAATGCCTAGGATATTATTCCTTATTGGTTCTGGCTCATTTTTTTACAACTCCAATTTTCCTAGTCATACTTGCATAATTGACATTCAAATTATTAGCAGATGTTTGCCGCTGTTTCTTCTCACTTTGCGTTCTCCATCAAATGAGATGCTCCATCAGTAAATGAAGGTCCCCAAAGCTTTGCTCTGTTCATGCATTTAAGGCTGACTCTGTTTTGAGAAGACAACTCTTCCTCTTGTATTTACTTGCTTTCAAACCTCAGGAGCTGATCTTGGGGCACTCTACTTGACAATATTTCACTTCTTTTCACAATATTTTCCTTGGCTAATCCCTAACAAGTGGGTAGCCTATTCCTTTCCCCTACTATGTTCTTAATCTGGAAAACTCACTGAAACCTATTCACCAGGGGTGAACTGGCTTGTATTTGAAATACTTACTGTTGGTGTAGTTTCTAGGATCACAGCAACGTGAAAGACAACACAGAATGACAAACTTGCAGATGAATGGTGGCAAAATAATACTGTGCTTTACATTAAATGATTAGATATTATCAGTTACTCTTTATTTGGGTTGGTGCTTAGATTTTATTTGTATTTTGAAAAGGGGGGAAGGAGTTAGAATTATTTAAATAAGTGATATCTATGCCTTTAAAAAAAAGATACACGAGGATTGAGAGAGAAAGAAAACATTATATTCCCTGATACTCTCTAGGGTCCCCAGATTCAAAGATTAATGATGTGTCAAACATATTTAACATCCTATCTTCATATAACTGTCTCTTGATTCCTAAGATAATAAAACTTCCGGAATTTCCAGAACCAAAGTAAAAGAATGTGCATTATCACTTTATTTATACACACACATGGTGTTTTACAAAGCTCTATACTCTTAGGAATATTAGTTTCCTATTTTTTCCCTGTGGATGCACATGATTTGCATGAGTGTGGTATGTGTGTGATTAAAATGATACTTGCATTTAGGGGACAGTAATATTATGGCAGAGTAATGGGCTGAATGGTTTTGGTACAGTTCAGACGACCAAGTAAAAAGGCTTTATATGGTTCAAGAAAGGGGATCACACTTCACCAATCGCTGACTCGATGGTGATTCACCACTGTCCACCCTACAGTGACTGCAATCTTAAGAATGCCTGTTCAAAATGCACGTTTCCTATTTTTTCAATCAAATGAGATTTTAAAAAAGGAAGCATTTTCTCAAGGATAAAGAGCAGAAAAGAGGAAAGGATAAGAAAGAAGAGTGAATGAAAACAGTAAACATACGGCAAGAGTAAAATGAGTGCTTTTACATTGTAGGGATTGTAATCAATAGCACAAAACAAAATTGTCTGAATGGTTGAATAGAAAAGTAATTCATTCTATAAACTTTTTCCCAAATCACAATATATATATATACCAAATGTACATTTCAGTATACTTTGATAACTTTGCTGCTTTATATTCTTATTTATATTCTTTCCCTTCTTTCCCAAGAACTGGCACACAGTGATGTATAAAGGTATTCAAATTAGTTTTGTCGTTTCACATTCTCAGTAGTTACACCTGCGTGGTTTCTCAACTCTCTATATCTGGCATTTGTAATATTCTCATCTGCACCTTTATTCAATGTCCGTTTGATAGCAACATACCTAACAGGTCTCCTACTTAAGTAGTCCTTTGAGGATCATTCCCCCTTAAAATGTATATACTTGGGGATACCAACACCTAGATGTCTATAAGTAACTTCACCAAAACCAAAAAACTTACCTTAGCATCAATATATGATAAAAGCACTTTTTAAAAGGAATTCACCATGAGTGAATTTCATTCCATGTCCTTTGAGTGAAGTCAGCAGATACTGCCAACTTACATGGATATGTCACTGAAAGGAAATGTAATCTATACAGTTTACCTGACCGACGATGATTCTAAAGTAATTAGAATAATAATAATGCATGCAGGTAGTTATTTTCTGTAACAATATTCCGTACACCAATGTCTTCCCAAAGTAAAATTATTCTTATTTCTATATTGTTCAAGTGATAGAATAAAATAATTTTAAAAGAAGCCCTCAAGTCACCTTTTATTCTTATTTTAGAAATGAGGTCATAATTTCAAGGCAAAGACTTCTAATGGCACACAAATGAAAGCAAATTGAGCCTACGATGTTATAAATATTTATTAATTGACTTGCCAGATAGAAACTTCTCTACTATTCTTCATATTTGTTATTGGGTCTTCTCTGATTCTTTCACATTTAAAAGCATTTAAAAGCATTCTTGCATCAACATAATGAACTATAATGCATGAAAAATAACATTACCATATTTTCCCCAGTCCACGGAAGGGGGTAAGTGTTGCCATAAAATAAGGTTGTTTAGATGATTTAAGTAGGAAGGTAGAGAATGAAATCCTTTCTGATTATACCACACCTAAAAAAAAGAAAGATAGTTTAATGTCTCTCATAAAATTAGCTCTCCAGCCCATTTTAGCTATTCTTGGACAAACAGAATGCATATGTCAATTAGCTTCATCAGCACCTGAATGCAGCACTCAAAATAATGTGCCCTCCTGCATAGCAGTGAGCAGTAAATTCCAGTCTGCTAATTTTATATTTATCTCAAGCATATAATTTATACCTAAAAATAGATTTACTTTGCCAGAACAAATGTGAATGTTGCTATATAATTATTTTCTCACAGGGGAAAAAAGAACTCATGCCCATCATTTTTTTTTAAATTCTTTCTCAATTGGTAAGTTAATGAAATTTGACCTGCAAATTAAAGGCATAGAATATCACCAGGAAAAAATAAGATTACTTTCAAACTAATGACTGAACATGAAACATTATTTCTCAAAATCGTTGGCACTGAGCATTTGTTGAGCATAGAGAACAGAGTAGTATACCTGTCACATAAGAGAAATATGAAGGAGAAAAAAGGACAATGATGATGTTATTTAAATTAAGTTAAATATTATTAAAATTACTAATTCAACCATCAATATCTGTATTTCAATATTTTAATGAAAAATAGGAGAAAAGTATTCCGTTTGGAAACATAATGCATGCATCAACTAACCAGTTTCTTTTAAACAGTTTTATTGGCACACAATACAGATACCATACAATTTAATAGTTCAATCCTATCAAGAGGAATTGTATAATCATTACCACAACAATTTTAGAACCCTTTCTTCTTTCTGTACTCATTATTAGCTCTCCAAATCCCCCCAACTTCCCCTACCCACCCCCAAGAAATCATTAATCCAGTTATTGTTGCTAGAGATTTACCTATCCTAGATTTCATATGCAGAAATCATATCAAAACATTCAAAAATAAAGATAAACATGGAAGAAGCACACCAGCCTGTGTGATCACGAGGTGTCCAAGGGATCAGGTATCAGGCATCATCAGAACAAAAAATCTTACCATAGCGAATGATGGGGGGAGTGCGGAGTGGAGATCCAAAGCCCATTAGTAGGCCACTGGAGATCCCCTTGCAGAGGGGTCTCGGGGAGGAGAAGAGCCAGTCAGGGTGTGATGTAGCAACGATGAAACATACAACTTTCCTCTAGTTCCTAAATGCTTCCCCCCACACCCCACACTATCATGATCCCATTTCTACCTTACAAATATGGCTAGACCAGAGGATGGATGTACACTGGTACAGATAGGAACTGGAAACACAGGGAATCCAGGGCGGATGATTCCTTCAGGACTAGTGGTGAGAGTGGTGATACTGGGAGCATAGAGTGAGGGTGGGTTGGAAACAGGGAACTGATTAAAAGGATCTACATATAACCTCCTCCCTGAGGAATGGACAACAGAAAAGTGGGTGAAGGGAGACATCGGACACTGTAAGATATGACAAAATGATAATTTATTCATTGTCAAGGGTTCATAAGGGAGGGGGCAGTGGAGAGGGAGGGAAAAAATGAGCTGATGTGAGGAGCTAGGTGGAGAGCAAATGTTTTGAGAATGATGAGGACAATGAATGTACAAATGTGCTTTACAAAATTGATGTAGGTATGGATTGTGATAAGAGTTGTATGAGCCCCTAATAAAATGATTTAAAAAAATAAAGATAAAAGCAATAACAAAATAAAAGAGAAAAACTTCAGTAAAAAAAAGCTAAAAAATATTAAAAGCTGGAACTGCTTTAAAATGGGTCAAAAGGGAAATCAAATGGCAAGCTGTTAAAATTTAACCATACTACATCTGCCACTGTTCACTTGCTGGTGCAATTCTGCAGAATAGCAAGGCTGTTCACAGCCCTTGATCTATGGTGAGAGGGGTTTCACTGGAAGCTTACTCCGCCTGTATTTCCACTTTGTTGTTTAAACTGAAATAACAGGTGGTTCAGAAGCAAGATCAAATAAAATATTACATTTTAACCTGTGTCTACCACAATTTCTTTGGAATGCTCTCTTTCTGATGATAAGGCTATTTGCATACCTCAACCGTGGTCCGAGGAGATTCCCCTGAGACTTTGTCTATGGGTTTTTCTGTTGTTAGATGCCATCAAGTTGCTCCTGACCCATAATGACTGTATGCACAACAGAACAAAACACTGCCTGGCCCTGTGCCAGCCTCATTATTGTACCTATGGCTGAATCCACTGCTGCCGCCACTGCGTCAATGCATCTCATTGATACCCTTTCTCTTTTGCACCGCCCCTCCACTTTGTCAAGCATGATGCTCCACTCCAGGGACTGGCTTCTTCTGTTGCTCCTTCCTCTGATGTGGTTAGTTAATGTGTCTATGCGTAGATTTTGCAAATGGATTTTGGGCTTCTGATGTCATTCATAACCTTCTGAAAACCACAATTTTAGCTCTAGTACCATTCTCTCCTTCAGATTTGGACATACTATGTATGGTCCCTGGATCATACAGGCTGGTGTGCTTCTTCTACGCGGACTTAGTTGATGCCTCATGACTATCCTAGAGCATAAACCCTGAGCACCCCACTTGCAGAAAGCTTTGGATGATACTGAACACCCAAAATTCATTTGTAGAGTCCTTATGTCGATTAAGCCTTTATTGAATTCCTTCTGATCATTAATCAAGGATGTCGATAGGCTTGCCCTCAGACAGAGTACATTAGAAAGATTATATCCCCTCTCTCTCCTGTCAGATTCCTCCCCACCAAAATCTCAAACCACACACACTGTTGAGTTGATTCTGCTCATAGTGACCTTACAGGACAGAGTAGAGATCCCCTCTGGGTTCTAAAACTAACTCTTACAGGGATAGAAAGTCTCGTCTTTCTTCCTTAGAGCAGCTGGTAGTTTCAAACTGTTGCTCTTGAAGTTAACAGCTCAGTGCTGCTACCAGGACTGCCCTCAGGCCAGCCATGGAGGGACAATCTCTCTGAGGGGCTTTCCTGGCTATATCCAGGATGGAGATCAGCATACTGAGAAAAGTATGGGACATTTCATAGTCACTCAGTAATTCTCTATCAGGCATGACCTGGATGCCTTAGTCAGAAGGTCCTGGACCAATCTTGTAGGCATTTTGCTCTACGAAACATATTGTCTGTGTTCCAAGCATGGTCCCGTTCTCTATTATGTAACCCCACCTATGACTATTCTGCCACCGGTCATGAATTTGTGACAATTTCCTTTGTTTCGTGCTTTAGTTAACTAGCTTCCTAACTATGAATGCTTTGATGCCATTTTACCCTTGTGTGAATGGGCTCCATCATCCAAATGATGTGCCTTTGTCTTACTCTTGACATTTTTTCCACCCAAGGCAATAAATGTTCTCCTTAAACTGTATTTGAGATCCTGATCTCTTTTGGAAGCTAAAACATGACAAATAATTACAATTCTTCAGTGACATCAACAATAAACATTCATTTAGCTTTGCGGAGTTCCATTACTATAGCCTGCATTTGGCTGATCTTGGCTAGGTGTACTCTAAGCAACCTGCGGGCGACCTGCCTCAGCTGAAGGATAAGTTTGGGCTGCCTCTCATTTGCTTTATTATTAGTTTTTCCCTGGGAATGTTTTTCTGAAGCACTGGAATGGGTTCTGCATGTTGGTTGGGAGATTTCCTTCCTGGCCAACTCCAAGCAGGAAACAATAAATACCAATAAAGAAAGAGGAACTTAATCTTTTAGGAAAATATTATGATGACCTCAAAACAGACCTGGTGTGTCACAAGGCACGAGTTCCTCACAAAAGCAACTAAGTAGCTGTAAAAGAAAAACCACTCAATAGATATTCAAGTGCATAATATTCTATCTGAAAGCAGAATATAGGCACAATACTATTGCAACTTATAACCCTAAGAAGTGTTTTAAGCTAAATGCTCAAATGTGGATGTTAGAACACGTAAAGTTTTGATGAGAGACTTTACAATATGATGAATCATGCATTTAACACATTTTAATGCAAATGTTCCATTTTCCCTTCAAAATAATTATGCAGAGCATGTAGAATCTGTCTTGGGAAAGGACCCTAAAGGCAGAAATAAAAAGACATGTCATTAATTACTATGTAATGCTATAACCTGACATGACATCAGTGTCCAGTATTTTTTCTCACAGTTGGTTGTTTTTTATACTTCACTGCCATGTTATGATGACTCAGCTTTCTGGGAAGAGGTTCATTTCTACTTCATAAAGGCTCTTATACAATTCATCTGCACGCATATACTGACAAAGCACATGTCAGAAAACAATACAAACGCCAACAACCACCACACAAATGTTAGTACAGAAAATAAAATAGATAAAATGAGACAACCAAACACTGCAAATAGGAATATTTTGGATTTAAATAGATTGAAAAGGTAAAATGCCATTCAAGGAAATAAGGAGATCCCTTCTACAAATTAGGAAAACCTTAATAATGGTGTCATAAAATATTTTAAACACTAGCAAATATATGTTAGATTATCCCTATTAAACCATGAATCTTGATATTTTCATATAAAGCTATAGATCTTCTCACACCCACTGCTTGCAAAGGAAAACAGACATGAACAAATCTCAACTGAATGCCGAATTTCTGAACAAATCACACAGGCCTGGTAACATTTTTGACAGAGATCACAGTGTGAAAATCATATTAAAGGTCCTGTATTCTACAGTGAATCTGTAACAGACACCACTCTTAATCACCATTAACTTTGCTAGTTTGACATAAAGCAGGAGAAGCATGACAGAGTATACAGGTGGCTTTCTGCACTCACATGTTAATGTTTTAGTTACCCTTAGGTGGTTCAAATACCTAGCCACCCTACTGAAAATAGAACGTAACACTACCTGGCAGGTCCTGCACCATCCTGAATTAGCATTATTATATTTGTGTTCATTGTTGCATCCACTTTATCCATCCATTTATTTGAAGTTCTCACTTTTTCATTAACCTTCTATTTTGTTGTTGTGGTTGTGGTTGTTGTTAGGAGCGATCTAGTCAGTTCTG